AGCCATTTTGAGTTGGGTTTTATTGGTGGGCTGGATACGTGTGTGTCTGGGCTCTTCTTAGACTTGGAGGGCCCTAATCTGTTTTTTGTTGATTAATGAAATGAGAAATGTTTTTTTTTTCTTTTTAATAAAAGTGAAATAAAAACACAAAGTCATTCAATCATACTATATTTCGAGAAAACATTACTGGCCCCCTAAGATTTATCGCATTACATTTTCAAACTGGTTTTTAATTTATATAACAATATTAAAAAAAAATAGTTTGATATAATTATAATTGAATTAATAACTAAAAAGCCACGGCCATCACCCTCATTTTTTCTCGTCACGGCTACCCAAGTGAATATTTTTTTAATAAAAATTACAAAAGAAAATATATCAAAGGAAAAAAAAAAAGTAGAATTCAACCAAGTTGATGCTTCTAATTTCTTTACTTCCCTAGCATAATCCTTCTTCCCCCTTTTCTATTCCCTTTTTCAATCACTTTATCCCCATTGCAGAACCAGAGTCAAATGTAGCTTTTTATAACGCACTGTGGCAGCTCCTTCCACCAATTTATGCTGGAGCACATGAAAGTCCTCCTGCAGTGAATGATTGAGAGCCCTCAAAAAGATGTAAACCCCAAACCAACTTATCAGGATATTTTACTCTCGGGTGTCCAAGAGCGTCAAATGATAGCGTGCTGTTTTAGAAGGTGACTAGATAGTTGTCACTGGATTCGCCGCCATCTAGATTGATTTTTGTTGCAACATAAAAAAAATAATCTTTAAACATTGTAAGTATATTTTAAAGAATAAAAAAATTTCAATGGCTCAACATCATAGGTGATGTGGCTGGGATGAAATTGGAGAAGAATTGATTCAAAGATGATCAAATCATGTTCTAATTAATCTAGGATAAATCTAGTTAATTTGTTGATTTTTAAAAAAAAAATAGTATTATTTTTATTTTTTTTATAAAATAAAAAGATTTGGTTGATTTACGTTAACTTGAGTCAACCCACTTGACTCGTGACCCGATACATGTCTCATATTAACTCCTAGATAAAGCCTTATAAAAATAGAAGAAATTGAGTGGATCAAATCCTAAAAAATTAAATGTTTAATAATGAAATAAAAAAATCCAATGATAAGAAAATAAAAATTAAAATAATAAGGGCCTCATTTGAAGAAAGGAAAAGAAAAAGAAAAAAAAAAGTAAAGAGGATAACCTAAAATTATGAATTGAAGGATAAAATTGAGAAAAACAAAAAAAGAGATCAAATCAACAAATGAATCCAAAATAAAAAAAAATAAAAATAAGGAGAAAGATAACCAAATTCAAAAAAAAAAGTAAAACAAAAAATCAAGATTATGGATCTAAGGATGAGATTGAAAAAACAAACATTGAGGGTCAAATCTTATATATCATCTAATTTTGAATTGAAGGGAAAAATAAAAAGAAAAATCAAATTTACAAAAAAATCCAAAACAAAAAAAATCAAGAAAAATGATGATCAAATATGAAAAAAATTAAAATAAGATCATGGATCCAAGGATGAAATTGAAAAAAATAAAATTTAATGAAAGAACGAAGAATTAACATTAGAAATCAAAACATGGAGGGTCAAACCTGAAATATCATAAAAGAAAAGGATAAATTTGATATAAAAATCAAATGACAAATAATAAAATAAAAAATAAATAAATAAAATTTGATACAATTAAAAACAATGATGACCATATATGATAAAATTAACAAATAACACTATTTTTATTTTTTTAAAAGAGAAACACGTTTTTCAATATTGAAAAGAGGGAAAGAAAAAACATTGTCGGAACTCCACTGTGCTTGGGGAAACTACACCCATTACACCATCATGGAAGGAGTGGTGAGATGTATCAAAAGTCGTCTTAAAATGTAGTGTTCGGTCACTAGAAGACACTGCACACACTACTTAAAGAATATAAATACCTCCCACATGTTGATGCATATAATACATGTATCGATAACTTTTCTCTGTTTCTTTTTAATTTATACAAATATCAAAATACCCCATACCCCACATAATATTAATGAAAAATAACATAGCTAAAAAACTAAAAGAACCTTTAATCTAAACAATAAATTATCTGACTCAAATGACACTTTATTAATTACATTATATTAAAAAAGATTATAAAACCGAGTATTGCCTTACCCTTATAGTTAAGAAATTAAATTTTTGATAGTATTTTAGATATTATAATATGCAAATAAAATGGTAAAAGACTCAATTACCCCATTTAAATTTATAATAACAAATATGTCTTATAAAAAATACTGTATTATTGATGAAAGCATACTACAAGACATAAAACATAAATAGTTAAAGGAAAAATCATAATTTTACTGTGCAAAATGCACAGTGAAACATTAAGTTTTTCTAGCTTTTGTTATAATGTTTTAGAAAATGAATTTTTAAATAAAAAAAGGGAAATCATCTAGAGAATAGTATTTCTTTGTACTTTTCTCCTTAAAAACATAGATATTATTTGCGTTCATACTTTATACTAGTTAAAATAAGAACTTGTGGCTCAAAAACATTTTACAAATCATTGACACGAATACCTCCCATTATTAACGACTCTTTGATACTTGGTTTCTTCTTCTGCCATCACAATATATAAATCAATCAAGCAATTTTTGAAGATGTTGAAGGGAAAAAATGGTTTTGAAATTAAATAAAGGTTATTTTAAGGTTTTGAAATCAATTTAGGGTTTTTTAAGGCTTTGAAAAAAAAAATAAGAATATTTGATTTACAACTAGCAACCTAAGTAAAATCACATTACAAGTGAAGAGGAAACAAATCAATTAAGCATAGAAGTTTAAATTTAGATTTTTGTGAGATTTTATGTTTATGGAGATAAGGGAAAAAGATATTAGATTTTGAAATCAACTTGAGTTTTGTTTTTGATGAAGATTTGTTTATTAGACAATTTGTATTATATTATATATGAAAATAAATTTATTTTTTCATATGCAAACTATAATTTATAAAATTATTAAGTCAAATATAATTGCAATCATACTTTGAGAAGATGAAGAAATTTAATCTAAGCAAATTAAGTTTGGTTTCAAGTAAATTAAGTTTAGTATAATTAAACATAAATAAATAAATGTTTAGGTAAGTTTGGTTTCATAGTTTCTTTCACTTAAACAATTACATTCGAAGAAGTATCTTAACATAATTGACCAAGAAGTTACTAACCCAAAATTTGTTACATGAGTTGAGGAAAAAGTTTGAAAGAATTAAATATTACATTATCTATATTTAAGTATTTGTAATCCAATTACTAAACTCGTAGAGATATCTTAATACCTAACATTCTAAAGCCAACTAGTCTTAAAGTTATTAGCTTAAAGTTCGTTATATATATATATCAAAAAAGTTAACCTTAGAATAAATTTTGTTTTAATTAAAGAAAGTCCTATAACTATCTATTTGTTATATTGACTACAAAAAGAAAAGATTTGTTAATATATTGATTGAAAGGTATATTACAGAAATATAAAATTTAATAAGAGTTTATTTATTTAAATGGATAGGTAGAAGTAAAGTGATAAATGTCTTGATTTTAGATTCTATAAATTATTTTTTAATTTTAATATTTTAATTATTAGAGAATAGTAATAAACTGGTTAAATGGTATAATAAGTACATAAAAATATATTTTACTAAGGTTTTATTTTATTATATTATATTTAAAATATTATTAAATTTTTTAATTTAAAAATATTTTATAATAACAAGTTTCATAATATAAAATATTTTTAATGTATTATAAATATTTAATTTGAAATACAAGATTATAAAATAGTTATTGTCATCATCTTTAATTATTTTATTTTGCACAGGACCTTAATCTAACCTTTTTCAAATTTGCAGCCGTACAGCCTCACACGCAACTTCTGTTGCACTAAATTGGTTAAATATTAAACCAAAATCAATACGGCACAAAAAAAAACCACCTGGTCATACTAATAAAAGGATATGCTTCTGTATAGGCAAGCCTACACACATTTAAATGGCCTACCAATCATTTTAAGCCATTATGTTTTTATTAACACGATTATTCAGACAGTTTATATATATTTCAATTAATTTAAAAAAAAATTAATAATTATATAAGTTTTTATTATTCTAATATTTATAAGATTTAAACTAATTATTTTAAAAAACAAATCTAAAAATTGACCAGATAAATTATTTAAGTCATTATTCTAACAAGAGGTTGATGCTCTATTTTTTTTTTGGGTAAATTATGATTAACCAAAACCAAAACAAAATTTGTGAAACCAATCCTGGATGACCTATGCACACCCTTGCCTAAACTCAACGCAGAATATTTCCATTTCCAGTGGAAATTTGCAGGCAAGCTCTATCAGTACACAAACTGTTTTCCCACAGGCACGGGCAACAAGCCAAATATCATAAAGAAAGCAGGCCTAGTGATGCATCCAAACAAGAGGTTACGGCCATCGACAACCACGCAAGAAAAAAAACAAGATAATATCTAAATGGATGGTTCAAAATTTCCCATCACTTCCTCGAATTGTAGTTTCAATTATGGACCACGTTACTGCTGACAACTCCCATACAAATTCAGGATCCAGGTACATGAAAGTTGGCAATTCAGCACCACATACTTTCTCCCTTGCAAAACAATGGCGATTGACAGGGTTGGCAAATGGTCTAGGCATGGCCCGTCGTGATCATGACGATTGATGATGGACCATTTATAGGAAAAAGGAAGCCAGCGAGAATCTCACATCAAAATGACATTTATGAGCTGCTTTTTGCAAACCATTGGTCCATTTGGCATGGCCAACTCTAAAAGTAAAGGGATGCCGTGGCCTTCTTTTTTCTCACACAAAATATGGAGAAAGACACAGCAATATGAACCGGTATTCCATTTTGTCCTAAGAGAATCTTGTGTCTTGATTCTGTCTACAACTACATCAAGATAAAAGAGAAGGGAAATGGTAGAAAGGAGCCACTGCTATATTTTTCACTATTTTCTATCATTTTCTTTTTCAATTGTAAATCAATTGAAAAATAACACATGAGATCGCCAATGAAGAGATGATTCCCTTTCCTCTTCAAGGAAGAGTAAATATGCATTCTTTCCTTCACTATTACATCATTAATGAAGAAAATTCCCTATTTGTTCACTCTCCCTGAAAAAAAAAGGGGCTCCCGCAATCATTTCTGGGAGGTATCAATTTTGCTCAAAGGAAAATATTGATGCTAATCGAGTCTGGCTTCTAGCTCAAACAAATTGTCTAGGTCAGGCGAATGAGTACTAGTGATTCTGCTGATGATGGCCTGGGAATTTTACTCTGATGAAGAGCCACCAAATTGAGGGTCAGTCTGGTAGTAAACAACATCCCCTGTGTCGCTAACATAGTGATCTTTTCTCATGCTTCTTATCAAAATTCCAATTAGATGAAAAGGCAGAGGGCCTGACTTCTTTGGTTCTCGGTAATATTTCCCAAACACTGGTCTTGCAGCCTCAGTCTACATAAAATGAAGTATAATAATCAGATAACAGAAAACAGCAAGTCAAAACAATCAAGTCTTTCCTTAGGCCCCAGAGGAGTGCTCGTCACAATTGCATATGGAAACAAGTTTTTATTTATCAAAATAAAGAAATACTCACTGCTTCAATTAAGTGATAGTGTGGGATTTGAGGAAAGAGATGATGAATGACATGTGTTCCTATGTCATGATGAATGTTATTAATCCATCCATAGTCACGATCGATTGTCGTAAGCCCTCCCCTCAAGTAACTCCATTCCTGTTCAATTACAATGAAAAATTAGAAAGAAAAAATTACTAATTGAACTTCAGACCAGTCTAGATAAAATCTTCATAGACGTTTCTTTTCTTCATGATGGAGTATATTTACAAAAGACATGGCAATGAAAATCAACTTAACTATATGACTATAGATGTCAACTTAAACATGTGACTATAGATGTCAACATAATATTTTAAATTGTTACATATTGGAATTTAAATATAACGCTCAAGGTCAAGGATTTAGACAGAAAATACAAAAACACAATAGCTAGGATGCACATACCTTTCCACGATACCAAGGAAGTTTCTCTTCATGACCATGGTGATGCAGGTAAGTCACTAAATCCAGCCACATAACAAAACCCTAACATTGAATCAGAGTCAAGTTAAAAACATTCTTTGAATGGAAAAACAGAGCCTTTATGGAAATTCAGTTTCCATAGCATAGGAACCTCCAACACAAGGAAAATTGGCATTTACCACATATGGCACTCCATAGAGTTTTAGCAGTTGAACAGGACCCATTACAAAAGATAAGCCAACAAGCAAAGCAGCCATTGCAGTCCAACATAAGGTGGAAGTGATTACATCTTTTCTCTCACTTGGGACGAACAAATCACTGTTTGGGTCAAAGTGCGAACCAGATTTTCCAGGACTTCTGCTCCACTGAATTGAATAGGATATTCAGCAATCTATTTCTTCAACTCTGAATAAAATTGCTCAAAAAAAGAACACGTACTTACAAGATAAAAGGGGTATGCAAGCATGGGAAACGGCACAGTGAATCGTAGCATTTTTGTAATGCCATCCAAACTTTTATATATTTTCTCAGGGAGCTATATCAAAAATAGTAAAAAAAAAATGAGCTTGAGGAATCATAGAAGTGCAAAAGCAAAGATGCTATAATGCAAACCGACAAAGTAACAGAGAATCCATAAACAGATTATATCACTAACCGGATGCCATGATTCATCATTCTCAACATGTCCATGGTTTTGATGATGAGTTCTATGGCTGATTCTCCTGCAAATCAGTACCATCGCAAGGCATTTTCTTATTAGTAACTCAAAACAATAGCTTACAATTGCTGCGGAGTAGATTCAAACAGATGAAAAAAAGAGAGATCAACTTGTATAAATCAAAGTGCAAGATTTTACCATCCATGGTAAGGTACAAGAATTGAAGAATGCAGAATATGCCCCACCACACTATTTAGATTGTTGTTATTAGAAAAACTCCCATGGCCACTACAAGAATCAAATTCAACAATCAAAACACATTTGGCATAATCAAACGAAAGGAACAAGCAAATACATAAACCCAGATCTATAAAACAAAAAAAAAAAGTGATTACCAATCGTGTCCGAGAACAAAAAGTGCCCAAAACATTGTCCCTTGAGCAGCCCAATACAAAGGCCAGACAACCCAATTGTTAAAATAAGCAGCTGCTGCAGCTAAACCAAAAACCACAGCAACATCCCTAACAACATAACTCATTGACTTCCATGGATCTTTAACCCAACAATGCTTTGGTATAGCAGTTCTAATATCAGACAATTTAAATGGAGGGGGTGAACCAGGATCAAATTCTGTTTCCTCATCTTCCCCAACCCCATTAAAGCCAATAACTTTATTATCTTCCTCCCCATCTAATGATGCAACTCTATATGGAGCACTCACTTTAAGCCCCCAATTTCTCTCCCTACAACACCCTCTTGAAAACTTATCAAAAGGGGGCCTTTTTAGATCTGTGAGAGTCCTGTTTGTGTACAAAAATCTTGGCTTTGAAGGGCTGATGATTCCAGTTCTGGGTCTAGGCCAAAATTGAGGGAGAGGCTTGAAGCCACATTCTGATAACACCCAGCTCGCCATTAGATCCCGAACTGGAGAAAGCCAAACTGAGTGTCTCTCTCTCCCTGGCTTCAGAGAAACAAAGAGAGGACAAGCAAAGCTAAAACAAAAACTAGTTAAATTTATAATCTACCAAAAAATAAAGAGAGCAACAAGCGAAGCAAAATATCTAGGATAAAAGAAATACCTGAATAATGTAATAATATATTATAGTTACGAAAAACAAAATATCGAGAAATAAAAGATACGACTGACTTGTGTACCTATGTTTTAAAAAAGATTCTGGTTGTGTAAGGTGGCTTTATAAAGGACAGAGACTAGTTCGGTAACTTAGGAACGTGACCCTGTTTGTTTGGGTCGCGTGAAAATTGCCTACCGGCCATGGTGTTGTAGTTTGACCTTTTCAAAGGATGTGTTTTAATTTCTTCCCCTCTCTCCTTTTCTTTTTTCCAGTTTTTTCCTCTTTCCCATCAGCCAACCGTCCCTTCTCTCTCCTCGTCAGCGAGCTTTCCTCTCTCTCCCCACATTAATACATTCAAAACACTATAAAGTTCTAGCCTAGCGGTGGGAGGGCTTGTCCCCTTTCTCCGTATCTGGGTTCGAACCTTATCATGCATGTCTGTCACCCCTATGGTGCCTTACTTGCTCGCTGGGCTTGCAGGATGTTCAGTGGATCGTGGGGATTAGTCGTGGTGCGCGTAAGCTGACCCGGACACCCCACGTAAATAAAAAAAAAAAACAAAAAAAAACACCATAACATCATCCTTTATAGCCCGAGACGTCAGCTCTCTCTTCATCGCAGGTTAATTAATTTCCGACCAAACCACTCACCGATCATCATTATTATCCACATTCTATATTTAAAAATATATTAAACACTTGTTCTTTATTAATTTAATATATTTATACTGATACGTGTTTATTTGAATTCATACAATATTAAAGTTTTAAATTAAAAAAATTAAAAAAAATTAAGCTTATTTATAATTAGGTTAATTAGATATAAGTTGAATTAATAATTAGGTTATTTTTTAAAATATTCAATGATTTTAGATTGTTGTTGATTATGAATTAACAAAATTATTTTTTAAAATGTTTGTGTTGATTTAGGTTAAATTATAGATTATACTAAATTACATATGAAATACATGAATTTGATGGATAATTTTGTTATAGAAATAAAATTTGATAAATATAGATATTTGCCGATTAATTTGATGAATAGATTTTAGCCAATTACATTATTGTTATGATTTATCGATAAATTATACACTTTAATTAACTCCAAGATATTAATAAATTAAAATTGTGATTTATTGTGTTATTTAATAAAATATCTTGTAATTTAAAAATATTAAACTTTTATGATAGTATCATTATTAATAACAATAATGATATCACTTATAATGAAAGAAGTAATGATTTTCTAATTGTTATATTAAACATGTTCATTTACAGGTTATCTAGAATGTTACGTGATCGACTTGGTTGGAATATGTTTAAAATAAAAGTTGAAATTACTTGAAGGATGTTGCAAATTGAAATCAGTCAAACTTGTTATGTCGATATACCAATCTGTAGTGATGGAAGTGTGCTTCATTGTTTGGAATTATGAGGATTAATGGGATTAATATGTTAGAACTCTATTTGAATAGTAGACCTAGATAATGAAACTCTTGAAGTATGGATTTAACCTAGGTTCTAACTCTAAAAAAACCACACAATATTACAAATAATTTGTCCATCTAGACTAGATGGTAATGCAAGTAGACAGATTTTGGTATAGAAAATTATTAATATGGAACCTAAGTTTAGTATAACACCTGCTCCACATTACTATGGAGAATCTAAACTAAGTGATAATGAAAATGATCATCATAATAATAATTTTTATGTCAAAATCCTCTTGTTTTGCAACACCGTCATCAAATTGACTGAAATATTATTATTGAGGTAATGTTGATAATTGTGAAGAGAGATATACGTATAAGAGTATGTTTCAGAACGCGGTTTGCACCGCGTTCCTAAAAAAATTATTATTTTTTTATTTTTTTGTTAAAATTTAATATGTTTTGTATGTTTTGGATCGTTTTAATGTGCTGATGCCAAAATAATTTTTAAAAAATAAAAAAAATCATTGACATGCATTTTGGCATAAAAAGTTATTTAAAAAGCACCCAAAACCACACTGTCAAACAAACTCTAAGTGTTGCAACGATTCAAGGTACTATAAAGAGAAATTATAAACATGAGGTCTCCTATTAAAAGGTGTAGATGGCTAAACATAAAATATTATAACATTTTTTGGTACATATAAAGAGTCATTTCAAAACCTACCTAGAATGCTACTGGCCATTAGAGATTTAAATCTAGGAAAAAAAATCACTTAGAATCATAAAATAGTTGATGGTAATAAAGCAATATTTGGGAGAGCATTTTGGACATTTAGTGTTTTAATTAATGGGTTTCAATATTGTTGTCCTTTAATTAGTATTGACAACACTCACTTTTATGGTAAGTACAAGGCAAAGTTGTTGGTAGCATTTGTTTATAATGCAAATAATAAAGTTTATTCATAATGTTTTGCTATGGTCGCAGAAAAGACAAATAGTGATTGGAATTAGTTTTTAGATTTGCTTTATTAATATGTGATTGGCAGTCATTTTGGGTTATATATTATATTAGATAGATATGCAGCAATTAAGAATTTCATAGCACATATTTTTCTTGAGCATATTGGATATCATCTTTATTGTTCATGATACCAGAATATATATAATAGTTTGGACATTGGTGACGAGTTGCAATGTATTAATCATGAGGATAAGCGTTAGAAGAATTAGTTGGTGATTCATGCATCTCGCTGATATCTTTGGGATGCTATGATAGATCATGTTTTTAAGAAACAATATTCGATGATTGGTGTAGATATTTACATGAGATAATATTTATCTGTTACACATCATTTCATTACACCTATTTAGTCGTGTTTTGTGAGGTGTTCACGCAATTCAATACATTATACGTCCTGATATCTGAAATAGAATTGATTGGTATGCAATATTTTTTTATAAACAATATTTATTAAATATTGTTTATGTTATTATGAATGATGACTACTAATTAGTTTTTAATGTATGTATATAGATTAATTACTTAGTACAGAAGGCTCGAAAAACAACAACAACTATCAGTGAGGGTGTCAATGAGATGGAATGTATTATGGCCAACACCATAATCGATTTATGTCATGGTGGATTTCAAGAAGCAGTAGAGGCTGAACGTCTTAAAGTGGTATTAACAGAAAATAAGATTGCTTATCATATTAATGTCGAGGATGCTAGTTTGCCCACGAGTATCTCATGTCCATCCATGAGTTAGGATGATATTAGTCCTTCTCACATCTATATGGATATTACAGTCTTGTCTTCCAGTTGAACGAGTTAGGGTGATGCTCTAGATCCATCTACGAGTGTTTTAGGTCCTTCCACAAGCGGAGGCTATTATTAGATATAATTAAATATTATTGTATGTTATGAGAATTATGAATGGATGTATAATTAGTTTAATTTTAATAAAATATTGTGTTATATTAATGACTAATTTAATTTTATTATTTATGATTGAACATGTTATATTGCTGCTTATGTGAATTGTGTTTTGTTGTTGGAAAACTAATTATTTGAATTTTATGAATTATGATTTTTTTTATAGAGAGTTAATGGCAGAAGAAATTATTTCAGAAGAAGTCTCTTAATTAAGTTACAGTTGGCATTTATGACTATCGAGTCATAGATAAAGAATGTGATTATCGAGTTGCAAATCTTATCTATGACTCAATTAAACATATTAGATCTTTATCTGTGCTATTTTACCCAAAACAATTACTATGCTAAGTTCCTAAAAAAACCCTTTCTCTATCAATTATTAAAACTAATAAATAAATAACACATTTATTTAAATTTTTATACTTGAAAGGGATGAGACAAGTTGAATAACTTTCAATTCATTCAATCTAAGAGAAATATATTTCATGACAAAAAGGCTTTGGAGTATTTTTATTTCAACAAAATAAAATCATATTTTTTAATAAACATAAAGAAATACTGTACCTCCATTACATTAGAGGTCCTCCTCATAATATAAGATAGTTAAAAGGGAGATTGTAAAGACAAAGGACACTTCCTTCACACTCCAACAACATCCATAAGCATAATGAACTTAGAAATGATCACCAAGAAAAATAGTAAAAACAATGGTACTTAATGCAAATTAAATCGTTGGATAGACTTAATCTATTAATTTATCAAGATATTAATTAAACAATGATATGGTGCTGATGCTCACATGAATCTGTCCATGCATTAGCCTAATCTAGCCAAACAATTTCTCTTAGATATAACAGGGCCACTTGTCACGAGACCACATTCATCGATGGAATTTGATTGGAGGAGTGCGAAGGTCTTCCGCACCATCTGTGTAAAACGTGAAGGAATTTGAAGTTTCCTACTTGTACACTCAATTGGGTGGTAACACAGGCACTAGGAGAAAAAAGAGACTAAAATTTAGCCGCCCCCCTGCCATCATCGTGCTTCATTTTATTATATATACAAATATTAATTTGTCTTCTTAATAAAAAATACTGCCATCATCGTGCTTCATTATATTAATTTGTCTTCTTAATAAAAAATAAAATATGGAGAGCCAGGGTGGCGGGTCATGTTATCATTTGAATCATGGTGTGTGTGTGTAACCCTTCAATTGAACATATTTTCACTGCACATATACAATTTATTCTTCCCTACAATAGTATAATAATGTTTTTGTCATTTGAAAAAAAAACAATGACTTTGGTGTTGGATTATTTTGATGTTTTTACACTACCCATTAATCATTAATTGCACAAACATTTACATGTCTTTTCAATTTAATTTGGCACAAAGAAATAATCTAATTACCCTTCAAGTTAAAATTTTTAAAACTAATTAATAGGAGTACTTTTTTATTTTTATTTTTTAAAATATAATAAAATACCATATTTACCTTTAGAATAAAAAAAAACATATATCTAGGAGCTTTTGGTCTTTTCACTATAGGTTTTTTATTATTACTGGTTTCATGAAAAATAATTTTGTTTTTTTATACATATTAATTATTAGTTAAATGGAAAGAGTTGTTGATGCATGTCATTCACAACACATGTGAGGCGCCAGCATATTTTAGGCAAGGCGTGGAGCAACTCCTAATAATAAAATATTCCTTTCATTGTATAGTTGAAAGCATCTTACGTCTTCTTCTTAATAGTATGTCATGTGTTGAAGGTGATAAAACAGTTTATCATTAGTGTATTTATATTGTTTTGTTTCCTTTCTTTCCTTGAAAATTACAAGTTAGTTTTTTCTAATATTTTAATTTTAATCTTTATTTTTTTTATCCTTTTATAAAAATTTTATTTGTATTCAATTCATTCAGTCTTAATTTATTATATATTACTGTTTTCTATTTTCTATTTGGTTATGTTATTTTGATTTCTTATTTATTTTTAACTTTTTTTAATTTGGCATGTCTAACACACTGAAGCATTAAATTTACATGCCAATCACTTTTTATTTTTTAATTATATTTTATATTTATCCTTAATCAACTTGATTACTAATAAAAAAACCAATACAAAAATATGAAAAAGTCCCTTAAATCACAGTTTAACAAATCTTGATTTTAAAAATAATTTAGTTATTTTAATTTATTTTTTGGTTAAAGATTTGAAAAGTGTTCTCCGAAGTTAAGAGAAGAAAAATAGTTTTCTTTAAAAAGATTGAAGTGTTTCCTTTGAATGAAAAATTATTTTTTATTGATTATTTTTTCTAAAATTAAATAAACATGAAAAAATTTGAAAAAAAAATAAAAAAATATATGCCATGAAACAAACCATTGTAGAAAACTTGTAAAGCTATTGTGATTATGTAGATGATTGATTATTACTAAAAAACTAAAACAAAAATAAAAAAAAGCCATTGAATCCTAATTTAACAAAATCTAATTTTAAAAATAATTTAGTTATTTTAATTTTTTATTTTGTTAAAGATTCAAAAAGTGCTTTCCTCCATTTAGAGAAGAAAAATAGTTTCTTTAGGAAAGAATAAAGTTTTTTCTTTAATTGAAAAACATTTTTTTAATGATTTACTTTTTTAAGGAAAAACTTCAAAAAATTATTTTTAAAAAATTATTTTCGATGAAACAAACCACCTAAAAAACTTGTAAAGCTATTGCAATTATGGAGGCGCATAAATTGTTGATCGATTTTTTTTTTCCATTTCCCATCAAAGCATAAAAATAAATTAAACAACGAAAAACCAGTGTTAATAAAAAAAACAAATATTTGTGAGAGATGCCAATGGCACATTCATAATTATTATATATGGTAAATTAAGTCCTTTATAAATAATAGTAAATGACAAAAATAATTTTGTGTAAGCGCACAAGACGCAACTGCTCAGAGTCTCTTTCCTGCCATGTATCTCATAAAAACGCCATGGATGCATCGCATAAAACTAGATAAGGATTAAGCCATCCATCCTTACCTTCTATTTGCCATCCTAGAGCTTCAAATTAGCCATGTGTCTAACATGCTCATGCATCTGTAGACTATATATTGGACAAATTAAGGGTCACCAGTAGTGATTAGAAAGCAACCAAAATTAACCAAGAGGTAATAGAAGAATCAGGCTTTTCATTTGCTTTAAAAATTTAACGGTTTGATTTCTATAAATTTTAAAGTAATGAAAAGTTTATAAAATTATAAATTTTAATAGTTATAAAATTAATTAAAATAAATGTAAGCACAACCAAATTAACGGGTAAAGATGGCAAGTCGCCCACATGCCAAATCTTTAAATCTTGTAACCAGTAAGCTTAATTAGAAAAAGGTTATTAATCTAATTCAATTTGGAAGCAATCCCTTTGTTTTATCATTGTGAACTGAAATATGAAACATCCATCACAATCACTCTTAAGTTGAAATTAATTTCTTCTCCTTTGATTGTATAACTTTATTGGTCCTTTTTCAAGGAAAATTGCCAGGATTGCTGGAAGAATAAGCATATTGTATTTGCATATTTGATTTGCTTGAGTATGGCATGATCTATATATAAAATACATCTTCCCATAAATAATAAGAATAGGATCCGTGCACTCGGTCAACGTTGTTGTTCTTACTCGTCTTCTCTCTGGGATCCTTTAATTTATGGTTATGGTCTTGAGTGAATGGCTAGACGAGGAGGGAATCCTGGAAGTTGCGAGTCTCTGTTGCATGGCTTTCAAACGTTGATTCCCAGGCTGGTTCATCAACACTCGGCTTAAGACCGCAGAGATTCGGCCCAAATAATGTGCCCAATGCCAAGGCCAAGTATAAAGACGCGCGCGTGCCTTCAATAACAGAAGATGAAATTTCTTACGCCACAAGGCTAGCTAGAATCTTTCCTTTTTTCTTCTCTTGAACCTTTTGTATCCCATCTCCCATCCTTTTTAATATTTTAGATGGCCTTCAGTGGTTGCTATGTGATGCTATATTTGTACAAGTTCAATATATCGGCGTAAGCCTCGCTATAAAATTGCCTTTGTTCTTCATACGCTCTTCGACAACTTATGGTACATTGCCTTGCGCTCAGGCAATTTTCAGTGCTCATTTGTAGGATTCTTTCTGGTCCCCTACGCGTTTAATATTTTTTCCTGGGAAAAGTGGTTTCAGGGAGAGAAAAAAAACCATACAGTGTGAATCCAAGAATGAAGAAACCAATGAAAAACACGTTCTCTTCATGGAATTGGTAATTGGGAGGTTGTGTGGCTCTGCCAATGTAATTAAAAGGTTCAGGTTTAGTTGGAGGACAACTGCTCTTATAATGTGCAGTCCAAAAAAATCATCTGTTGATAAGTAAGCACAGTTGAAACTTACTCATAGACATTATCGAAGTACAGATTCTTAATTGTCTTCAAATCGCACACAGCATGTGATGATAATCTCCAGTTGGGGTCTTGGAGACATCTCACCATGCACAAAGGGGATAAACAAATAGAAGGAAAAACTTTAAAAACCTGTCCGATAGCTAGCATATCAGGCTTATCTTTCTCACAGTTGCCACCACTTTCGTTTCTCCATTTTCTTGAAAAATTCATTTGTCAATGATGCATAGTCTTCTGATCTACCTTCCAGCTCTTCAGTGTCATTGCTGATTTTCTTATATAAATATAAAACATTTAGCAGTTGGTCAAGATGGACCTTTCGTGTGTATAGCAATTTAGAAAGCAATGCATGGTAAATTGTCTAGGAACATATGAAGGCTGGAGAAATCCAAAAATAGCCAATTTGACTCGGGGCAACTGGAGAAAGTTTGATCAAAGAAAATACGATAAAAATGAAACGTGAGGAAATTCAATTGTGAAAATTAAAGGTATTTACTCTTCTTCCTTTTTTTTTGGTTAAAATCTTACCTCCAGCTTCTCCTGCCTTTGGACCCGCTTGTTTCGTGCACTAGCAGCCGGAGAAGAGGCGTCCTAAAATCATTTACCAAACCAAAAAAACACAATCAATTCAAACTATTGATGTTGGCCTTACCAATGAAAGAAGAGCTCGTCAAAATAAACCAACAAGCAACGATACCTTGAATTTTCTGTACTTAGCTACGATTTCCTTAAGGTTCCTACTACTTCTGGGCTTTGTTTCTCCACCAGAACCTAGTAAAATCTCCCTGTCCGTTCTCTTCTCTGCAATGCAAAATTAGAGGTGAATTGTTCAATAATCCACGCAAGCAAACGCACAAGAAACTCAGATTTACCTCTCGCTTTATTTTGAACTTCGTTGGATGATTTGGTTGCCATGAGCAAGTTCATGTGTTTCCGTATCAGTTACGATAAAGGAAACACTTGAACAAAGAGAGAATGATGAAGATGACCTTTTTCGTGTATTTTAAATTGTAATGAGCTCCACAAACCTATATTAAGCTCCACCCTAATTAGCAAAATTTATGCTCCACAGGCCTATATTAAGCTCCCCAGCTTCCTGAACCTCTAATAGAATGAAAATGGCCAATTTGAGCCATTTTTAGCTCAACTTTTATTATCAGCACCAGGAATCCTGCATGTGCAACAGTCTTTGAGTAACACGGCCAAAAGCATGATTTCGTGAAGTAAATCCAGAGGAAACTGATGCCATCCATTTGAAATTTTTGAACCTGCTTGTCCTACAGCAAGAACCTTGTCACGGAAAACAATATATAAAGAGGCCAGAATTGTAGAAACAGCACGAATAGCAAAAGTCTTTAAGTGTAGCATTCTTTTTTTTTTTTTTTAATTTACATGGGGTGTCCAGGTCAGCTTGCGCGTACCTCGACTAATCCTCACGACTTACTGAATACTCTGAAAACCCAGTAGGCATGTAAGGCACCACGAAATTTTTGAACCTGCTTGTCCTACAGCAAGAACCTTGTCACGGAAAACAATATATAAAGAGGCCAGAATTGTAGAAACAGCACGAATAGCAAAAGTCTTTAAGTGTAGCATTCTTTCTTTCTTTTTTTTTTTAATTTACATGGGGTGTCCAGGCCAGTTTGCGTGCACCTCGATTAATCCTCACGGCTTACTGAATACTCTGAAAACCCAGTAGGTATGTAAGGCACCACGATGCAGTAGAAAGAAACAAACCCTTTCCACCACTAAGCCAAGTACTAGAATTATTTTAAATGTAGCATTCTTGCTTGTGAGGGAATTGGAGTAATGTCCACACTGTAGTCAGTTTATCTTTTTCCTATATCATATTTAAAATTGTTTATTGTTTTTTAAAGTATTTTTTATTAAAAAAATATATTAATAATATTTTTTATATTTTTAAAATTATTACATTAAAATAATTTAAAAACATTAAAAATATATTAATTTAAAATTAAAAATTAAAAATAAAAACAAAACACTTTTAAAATCTTTAATGATACCATCAAGAATCCCAAATTTAGTACCCTGCAACAACATATATATGTTTTATTTTTTTGACAACATAGATAAGTTAGTTATAGTGCTGGAAACAAATGAAGCAGTAAAAATAATAAATTTAAAATTTGTTAATAGTATTAAAAATATCATTAGATAGATGTATACGTGATTTAGTGTTTATATGAAAATTATTTAGAAATTAAATATTTTTTTATTTTTAAATAATTATTTTAAAATTGAATTATCATAAATTATAAGTTGTTCGAGTATCTAGCCTCTAACAATAATCTACATTAACTCGAGTAAAAAATCTCTTAAACTCTTTTAAAAAATAAAATGTATAAATTTTTATTTATAAAAAAAACTTAAAAACCTTATAAATAGTAAAATATTAATTTATCCTTAAAATTTATTCAATTAAGTCCTTACTTACTTGATTGTTGTGTAAATCTGGAATTATAATTTCTTGTATTAATAATATTCTAGTTTTTAATTTTTAAAATTTATTTACAATTAAATCATATTTATTAGTTATTTTAATTTAATTTCTTATCAATAATTTTTATATATGTTATTGTTTAAATCAGATGTTTAATTTCAAACGTGAATTTTTAAAACTAAATCTATCTTGCTGGGGAATGCTGTATAGTTATAATTTAAAATTTTTTATTTAAAAATATATTAAAAATATTTTTTATTTTAAAAAAATTGGTATTAGTATATTAAAATAAAAATTTAAATAGCATTTCCAAACATAACCCAGTAAAGTTGTTTACATTAATTCAGTAGCTCTTGAAATAATTATTCAATCATTTTAATTTTGTGATGAATAATAAGAAAAGCTGAGCCATCACATATTTTGCTTGGTATGGGCCTGCATTGAACCCCGCTATATGTATTTGTGCTAGTTGGCCCAAGATGGGTTTCCTTTTTATCGTAAAGCCATACATTTTCGTTAAAAAAGAAGCATATGGGCTAGTTATAAAGTTGGCCCATGTAGTTTTAAAATAAACAATGAATAAATTTAAATATAAAAACTAAATGGAAAAAAAAAATCACTATTAAATTTTTATATAATTCAACTTCATAATCATTTCCTCATATTTTAAAAGATACTCTTATTTTAAAAAATAATTTCGATGTATCTCTCATTTATCTCTTAGGATATGTTTGATATTGCGATAATTATTATGGTTATAATTTGAAAAAAATTATTTTATAAAAAATATTTTTAGTTGAGGTTGGGTTGAAAAAATATATGTTTGGTTAAAACCGTGGTTGAAATTGAGGTTGGATAAAAAGTAGTTTAATGTATTTGGTTAAAAATACTTTTGAAATTGAGGTTATAAAATAATTTTAAAAAATATATATTAATATTTATGATTTTTAATTTAAATATTGTAAATTTAACTATTGCTATTATATCATTAAATAAATCATACTTTATATAAAATATTTTTTACTATTCCATTAAACTATTTACAATTTCATTATATATAAAATTTATCCGACAATAACTATAGTTTGTATAATTTTTTAAGTATACAATAAAATTAGGTAAAGTATTATTAGGAATAAAATTAAAATTATAGTATGAGTAAATTTAATTCATTTTAAATTATTCTTTAAAAAATAATTATTGTTTAGTAACATGAATACTATAAATAAAATCAATTTATTGTATTAATTATTCACATAAATAAAATAATAACTCATAAATAAATTCATATGATATTATTCACATAAATAGTATAGAATGAAGGAAGTAAACACATCAAATTAGGTGTGCCCTTGAGTTTTTCTTTTTGATGACAATAGGTGGACAAAAATGAATTGAAAAATAGTAATTTTTTACTTTACAAAATTGGCGATACAAATTTAATTTTCAATGAGATCCATCTTTAAAATTTATGTTTCAAATATTTATTAAATAATTAAAAATTATAATTAAAATAAAACATAGTTACTACAATACCAAATAATAAGATCACGAGAGCATCAACGTAACAGATTTTAGGTCCATATAAAAAAGAAAACACATCTTGGGTGTCTCTCCTCGCTTTATATTTTCCAACCATGTCAATCCCTAAAAACAAAGGTGTGCATGTCAAACAAATTTGATATACTGTTGTTAATGGCTCGATTCCATTAATCTTCATGTTGTTCCTAAATTAATTAATTACTTTTTTTTTTAACTGTTTTAGCAGATGAGGTTGAGCAAAATCCAAGGAGCTCGTATTTTAATTTACCGCCGGTGGATGTTTCCGTCGCCTTCCCTCAAGCAACTCCAGTTTCCACATTTCCTCCTAGCGGTAAGAGCATCAATAGTTTTTTTTAAAAATAAAATAAAATTATGATCTATTGAGAGAAATTTAGGCCATTTTCGACCCTCGCTAATCAATGAATATGCCGTTGTTAAAACAGTTTCAGATTACTATCAATTCAGTGATTTATTAACCGTGGAGGATCAGGCACTCAGGATGAGAGTGAGGGAGTGTATGGAGAAGGAAATAGCTCCGATAATGACAGAGGTATTATGTTTAGATTTTGGCAGGAAAAAAAACTACGTATAATTTATTTATTTTATTGCTTTACAGTACTGGGAGAAGGCGAAGTTCCCGTTTCATGCTATTCCAAAGCTCGGTTCCTTGGGTATAGCGGGGGGGACGATCAAGGTAACTTTTTGTATTTTGTTCAAGTTGAATTGGGAAATTGGATGATTAACTAACTTGAAATCTCAGGGTTATGGGTGCCCTGGTCTTTCCATCACTGCAAGTGCCATCGCGATGGCAGAAGTTGCTAGAGTTGACGCGAGCTGTTCGACTTTTATTTTGGTGCATTCATCTCTGGCAATGCTCACCATAGGTGAGATCTTGGCTTAACTGTGTTTCCTTTTGGGACATGCTAATTCCTGGATTTAGTTACAAAATAAGATGCTGCTAATGAGTTCTGACCTTTTGCATGGATTGTGAAGAACAGCATTGTGTGGTTCAGAGGAACAGAAGCTGAAATATTTACCTTCTTTGGCACAGTTCAGCACCGTAGCTTGTTGGGTAAGTGGCTTCTTTTGGCACTCGGCCACAGCATGTGTCTGATATGTATTTATGCTAGATTCAAGTTATTTTATGTTGTCCTGATCGTTAGGCTTTGACCGAGCCTGACTATGGAAGTGATGCAAGTGGTCTGAAAACAACAGCAATAAAGGTTTGACATCCTGACCTCTTCTATGTTGTTTTTACATTGCTATTCTTCACGCCATTCTGTTGAATTTCTTGCTATGTCTTGCTTTTGCTTTCATTCTGGGATATTCAGGTGGAACGAGGTTGGATACTTGAGGGCAAAAAACGCTGGATAGGAAATAGTACCTTTGCAGATTTGCTTGTTGTATTTGCTCGCAATACCACTACTAATCAGATTAACGGGTATGATTCTCTCTATCTATGACTATTGTGGTGAGTCATGTCGACATTATGCTGATCTCTGAGTTTTGTAATTATAGAAACTAGATGCAGCCTATATTTTTGGAAAGGCTTGCACAAAGACCGACAAATTCTTCATACAGATTTTTCTGGATTAATATGCATGCAAGCGTATGTACATGCCCTTTTGCACATGTAAATTTGAGAGTTTTACTGTGTAGGGCACTAGATGTCTGCTAAAACGCTACACTTTAGTCATTGTCTATCAAGTTTGTTCTGTTTTTTGGTAGATAGTTATGCACTGGAACACAAAGAAAGTAGTCTGTTGTGCATCTATAAGATATGTGAAATGGTATCCTAATGATTACTGGTTCCATCATTCTCTGAGCCCAAGACCAGTGACTCCCATCAATCAAATGCACTGAGACTGTTTGTGCATAACGAAACCTCGCGCAAGACTTCCTTTCTCATGGGCCCTAAGTGAATCAAGCAAACTGGACATCTGATACGGGTGTGTGCTTGATCCCATCTGAAGCCATATAAATGATTGTTGACTCTAAATGCTTACCAACATCTCTCAGTAATTCTTAACTAGATTGAGGAAACTATCAAGGCTCAAATCTATAGTACAACTGTACTTGTATGTAGTATTCCATGATAAATGCTTGAGTGTTTAGAGATGAGTACATTTGAAACAAGCTACTTTATGCCAAATGCTTGACTTTTTGGGCATCCTGGCATGCTTCTTGCATGAGTTTTCCAACACATGGGGGAGCTGGAAATGAGAAGAGAAGGTTAATTTTATTTACTAGCTAAAATAAGGTTCGGCAAGTGACTATTCTAGAAAGGTCTCTCTCTTTCATTCTCAATTTCTGACTTTCTTGCCCATTATTGTGCATTTTATAGGTTTCTTTATTGTCTAGTTTTGTTGGCAACACAATACATACGACAGTTTTTCATTGTGCATTGTCTTTTTACATGTATTGCCCTTTTTTTTTTTCCTGTTTCAGATTTATAGTAAAGAAGGACGCTCCTGGATTAACAGTTACAAAAATTGAAAATAAAATTGGTCTGCGCATAGTACAAAATGGAGATATTGTCATGAAAAGAGTTTTTGTTCCTGATGAGGACAGGTTGCCTGGTGTCAACTCTTTTCAAGATACAAATAAGGTACAGCAGTAACAAGTTCTTTCTGAGAAACCAGCCCATGATCACTAGTGTCGGTCTTGCTATGATTTTCTGGATAATCAACTATGCAGTGGTAGCCTGCAAATCTTTAGTTTTAGGAAATACCAAGTAATCTATTTATGTTGCCAAAAGACAGTGAAATGGAACTCCAGTGTTATGTTGCAAGTCTGAAACTTCAGTTTTTATCTGGAGTGCAACAGTATGCCAACCAAGAGTTATTGATGCCATAGAACATTACCACTGGGGCTGCCTTAGCCTTGGGATCAATTCCTATCAAATCAAACTTTAAGAGTTCACATAATTGTTTGCAGAGTTGTTGTCGCCTACATGATTCTGTTGAGATTTAGTAAGACAATTGGAGAACACAAAATTAATGAAGTGTCTAGTGGATGAGAGAAACAGATCAAACTATTCAAAATTTATGAGAATTATATTATGATCTTTGTATTCTACCATATCTCCTTAAGCAAATGAAGCAAGAGTAAAATATACTTTTTAAGTTTATCCAGACAATGTTTTTATGCATTTTACTTGGCTTCAGTAATTTGGTATGACGTTTTTAGTTGACTATGCTTCAGAACTTGTTATAATTTGCAGCGGTTTTTGGTGTGTTTGCTCTACACCCATTCTACTGAGCTTTTCATAACATTACCAAGGAAAATACATCTCTCCCTTGTACTCTCTGGCAGTTGATTTTCAAGCTCTTTAAAACTCAATTAAATAAACAAAGGAAAAAAAAAATTCTTTATAATTTTATTTGGACCATGTTTTTCTGCATTTTACTTGCTTCATGGCTTTTAGGACCTTTTAAGTTTAAATACTCTTCTCAGATTGTTATAATATGCCAGTGTTTGGACTTTTACTCTGTTCCCTTTACCGAGTGTTTTGTAACATTGCCAACATAAGAAAGCTACATCATTTCCTTTTACCCCTTGGGGTTTGACTTTCAATGAGTCAGGTCCTTTTTCCCTTGTTGAGAGTTTTAATGAGCGTGAAAATCAATACACAATTACTTGTCAGTTCACCTATAGTATTGATCTGCAGAAGGGCGTGCTAAACCTTGCTTGTTATGAACTTTTTACACAGCTGAATTTTTCTGTTCTTCTTATTCCATTTTGTTCTATATAATCTTATCTTTATGAGTTTGAGATTTCCAAGCTCCTTGCTGATTACTGCTAAGTAAAATTAGGTTCTAGCTGTTTCACGTGTAATGGTTGCCTGGCAACCTATTGGCATATCAATGGGGGTCTATGACATGTGTCACAGGTAATCACTTTATATGCTATTCTCCTAAGTACCTTTATTTTAACTTCCCACATTACTTTTATTGACTCTTAAATGATTCAAAGGTATCTAAAGGAAAGGAAACAATTTGGAGCACCATTGGCAGCTTTTCAAATCAATCAACAGAAACTTGTTCGCATGCTTGGTAATGTCCAAGCAATGGTACTGGTTGGTTGGCGTCTTTGCAAGTTGTATGAAAAGGAAAAAATGACCCCAGGTCAAGCTAGCTTGGCAAAGGTATGATTGACCGATGCATTTCTGTGATATATTTAGTGATAAAGGATTGTGCTTTCCAGCCATGTGCATTGATGTTGTTTTACAACTTCAGGCATGGATCAGTTTGAAGGCAAGGGAAACTGCTAGCATTGGGAGGGAGTTACTTGGTGGCAATGGAATTTTGGCTGATTTTCTAGTTGCCAAGGTTTTCATGCTAATCTCTTTACTGAGAAGTTTACTCTTGGACACATGACTGACACATTTAGATCAGATGAAAATGGAATTTTTCAATACCAAAAGCCATGCCTAAGGTCTTACTAAAAACTTGATTCAACTTTGTTTTCATTTACCACTCATAGCACCAACTGGTGAATGGCTTCTTCATTGATCACTATTCTTAGATGTGAAGAATCTGTTTTCTTTAATTTTCCAACATGCTATGCTGTTGTACATATCATTCACTCTTCTGTATATGGGATCACATTGCAGGCACTATGTGATTTGGAACCCATTTACACATATGAAGGCACCTATGACATCAACAGCTTGATAACAGGCAGGGAAATCACTGGTCTTGCCAGTTTTAAGCCAGCAATGTTGAGCAAGCGAAGTCGCATGTAGCAGTGTAAACTTTCAATTGCCATCTGAATGTGATTTGGTACTTTTTCTGCTGTGTCGGGGAAGCTGCTTGATAACCTCATAAGGGAAAATTACAAAATAAACTTCTTCTCGTTCCATGCACATTGATGTCTTGAATCTTATTTGGGGGGGTAATATATTTAGCTCATGTACAGACACTGGTTTGAGAACTTCGAAATAAAAAGTTGCACGTCCTCAGCAGTCTTTTCTTCCTGCTCATCCTTTCTTAGGCATCATTTACATGATTTGCTAAATCCCAATCAAATGGTGGAGAAAACTCGGAATTGGATCCCAGTTTGGGTGGGTTTTTCATCATCCTTATTTACGTATCTTCTTTATGTTATATTGTAATTATTCTTACCCATTTATGGGTCTCCATGGAAACCTGCCCCTGCTCTAGGCTTAAACGTAGGTTGTTACTTCACAGGTTTCAAGTTAACCTTGCTGAATTGTGACAGATGTCTTTGCTAAACCTTCATTAAGTGAAGCAGATGCTACTGGAAGATACTGCAAAATTCATTGGGTGCTTGCTGGCCAACTGAATCTGCGTATTATTTGGTGAAGAGCATGAGTATTTTTCTGATCCAGAGCTTTTGAAGCAAAATGTGTTAAGCCTTTAACTCCTGTCAAACTGAAGATTTCAGTCTCAAACTATTAGGGTAAAGTGAAGTTCTCAGTAAATATTTTTTAGGTGGATAATGTATTCCCCCAACCAATTCTCACTATATGGAATTACCAACATAAAGGCTGACATGCCTTCATGATATATAAAGATATGGTTTTGTGATTCCTGCAAATGCCGTTGACTATAGTATGAATAAGACGATCACCGGTGGCAAGTGATATGGACCCTTCACACACAGGAAAAACAAGTTTCCAAGAACATGTATAAACCAAGCCAACATACAAACATGGTTTATAAAAGCCTAGTTCATGAAAATATATATCATGCGAATAAATCAAAGAAATTCAAATAAATTGCATGAATATAGCAAACTAGATTAAAAGAAATAAACTATAACAATTAAACAATTAAAGTTGCTAGAAACCTTTTAAACATATGAACTTCTTAAAAGAATTATTCTAAAAGAAGCTTAACATGTATCAAAACATATGATAAGTTTTTTCAAGACTATATATCAAACAAATAACAAGCATGAAAAAAACAGACATGATAGTATAGGCATAAGAACAAACTAAACAAAAAACATGCTGACAATAAAGCTTTAATATGTTTTTTTAAAAAAAATTAAGGTATATACTTTGAATTTTTTAATATAAAAAAAAAATACATCATAATACCTATTTTTCTGGAAAAAAATATTACAGCATGCAGCAGAATACAGGTTAGATAGCTAGTGTGTGTGTGAGTGTGTGTGTGTGTGTGTGTGTGTGGGCAACCCTTCTGATACTCTGTTCTCCAAAGCGATTGATTGATTGACGAGAGCATAGGGATGGGAGGGAATTTGAAAACCAAAGAAAACAGTCATCTTGCTAACGGACCCTAGACTGTTCAAACCCTAAACAAGAAACGAAGCCCATGGGCCTCTATTACCAACCCTAAACACGCCCTCCTATCATCGATGAATCTTTCTCCACTCTCAAATTGCTTCCCGATCGCCATTCTTTTTCTCAGGTTACGCAGTCAATTCCTTAGCTGCACTTGCTTGATAATCATTCAAATATATTGTGGTCATTTTGACGTGCCCAATCTTCTTGTGTATCATAATTATGGATACCTGAATTTCATAATTTTAGGGTTTATTCATATTTAAAAAAAAAAGAAAATTGAATTACTGTTTTATAGGGCTCTGTTGGTTTTGTAATATTGGATTATAAATAAAAAGAAATCCTAAAGGTATTTGTTGATCAATCAATTTGATTTCTTAAGATTAAACATGTTGCTGATTTGTGTCTGTTTGATCTCTTTCTTTTAAGAAAGGTAACAAGCCATGGCGGGTGGGAATTTCGTGCACAGGGTCTTATCTTATGTTGTGAATGAGCTTGTCGTCAATGGTCTTGCTAACAGGTATTCTTGATTCTATTGATTTCTATCCGCCTTTGATTTTATTGGTCAACTGACATGTAACAGTGAATATTTTAATTCTTGAACAATCTTTTTGTGTTTTTGTTTTAATTAAGCTTTTTTCTCTGACCATTGGAGTTGAATAGGTTCCTTAATGCTTCATCCAGTTGAAGCAAACGAGCGTTGATAATTTTGTCTGCAGTGCAACTTGTTATGTGCTGTGGCTATTGAAGTTGGACAAAATTTTATTTCTGGGCTATTTTTGTTTGCGTATAATATTAGTGCCTTTTTCCTTGCTTTGAATCATGGAGAGATTATTGGTTCATTTGACTGGATTGATGTTTTGATTAGAACTTCCTTTTAAGGTTGTTGCAGTTAATGCAATCCTCTCTGGTTTGATTTTTGAAGCAATGAACGTGTTTCGTGTAATATGCGATTAAATGTTAGTGTTGTAAATAATTTCCACATGAGCATTTTAGTTAATTAACTGTTAAGTGCTTTAACTTAACCCAGTAAGATGGAGTTTGAAATAGCGAACTCGATGGAGGACTTGTATGATAGAGTTTAAGGCGCATACTATGTTATTTATTTTGCAGAATACACTTCATTGAATTCAGAAAACACTCTCACACAAACATATATGTTCTTGATCTCTCTAAAAACACCTTCCTAAATTCAAATCCAGTTCCATAGGGCTTCGCTGGTGCTTTAGAGAAGCACAAATATTTTTGAGAGTGTTGACCAACTCGGAGAGAGTGTACAGGGAAAAGTCCCAAGTCCAGAATAAATAACATGGTGTATTAGATGCATGTTAAACTCTATGTATCATGTAAATGTCCTAGATCATGTCGCCTCTTTCAAACTTGATCTTATTGGGCTAGGCTCAATCCTTTACCAATTGGTTACGACTAAAATGCCTATGTGGACGTCATTTTACAACATGCAGCTTAGAAATTGTGAAAATATTTTATCACAAAGGGAAATTTTGTATTTTTCTCGTATATTTGTGGCACGTCTTCTATATTTGAGTTCACTCTATGTTGATATGTGTTCTTCATTCTTTGTTCTTGTTTTCTATTTAATTTTTTTTTTTAATCCATCATCTTGTTTAGTGAGCTTCTGGTTGCATGCTATTAGTCAAAGATTGTACGGCAAGCTTTAATGACTTGTGGAATTGGTCTGTTAAAGCTTCTCTGATAGGCTGTCGGGATTGATCTTATTCCTTAACAGTTTACTCCCTGAAGCGAAACAGTGTCAAATCTTCTAAATTATTGTTTCTGCAGTGCAGTGCAACGTCTGAAGTTTTTTGAAAACTCCATGACTGAGCATTTATTTATTTGTTTGTTTGTTTATATTTCATTCAATACTCTTTTTCTTCCATAAAGGAATAAAAAACTTGATTCATTTATAGAAATGAAGCTATGGGGCGGTCTTATTCTGCAGTATTATTTACTCAACTGATTGTTGATTGAACAAAAAAGAGCTTGGGTTGTGGATTTGCGGTTTATGAATATGAGTTCTTTATGAATGTCAATGATAGGATGATGTCGGTATGCCTAGGTGATAGGTGCTTGATTAACAGTTCATGTCTTTTTTGCTCCTTTTATCATCGCTGATAGTACTTTCCAGCTTGAAAGACTCAGTTACTGCCTGAAGATCTTAACCTTCTCTTTTTTTACCTTTGATTCTGATTATTGTAGAGGTTTTAACCTTTTCATTATCGGCCCTCTAATTTTGATTTTTCTTCCATTGTTGCAGTCCTGCATTCCAGAGGTTTGCAGTGAGGACATCGAGGAGGATTGATGATTTTTCAAACATCGGTATGTTTCTATTACATTTTGTGGTTTGGACTAGCAATTGCAGGCTCTATTTGCTATTACCCTGGCGGTGACTAACATTTTGTTATGCAGCGGCAAAGAAGAAGCAAGAACTTGCTGAGCAGATGAAAGACCTCTCCAAGAATATTGACGTGAGATGTTATCTAATATTTTTAATATAATATAAGATTAGCTGGTATCTTCGGTGGCTTGCTGCTGAATGTGTGTGTTTGTTACAGTCTTTTAAGAACCAGCAGTAGGGTGGAAGTGGATTTTCAGATGGCAGCGGATGCGTGACTGTATGTTGCTGTTTCTGTTCCCATTGCTCTCAAGTGTCCATGGAAATGGCGATATGAACCAGTTTTGTTATTACCGGATGGTGCTGCTTATGAAATGAACTCTTGGTTTATCCTTCCAACTTTGTATAAAGCCATCTATTGCAATGGTGTACGTGAAGGATTCAGTCTGCTGTTCTGTGTGTTGAGAAACCAAATATGCTCTGGCTGTGTAAAATGAAGTATCATTGTCCCAATAATGCCTTGCCTACTGGTATAGAATTAAAAGAAAAAATAGAGGATGTTATCGAAGTTTGCAGATAGAATCAGACTTTCATTTTAATATTAGTTTTAATTAAAAGGAAAAAAATTTGAGGATGTGTTGGATCATGCAGTATGTATAGTTGGATACAATGGATCATATAATGTAATTGTTGGAGTGGATCGTTATAACTGTACTAGCTATAAGCTTCCCATTAAAAAAAAAAAAAAAAACTATGCAGCGAACTTATTACTATTACAAGATTGAGAGTGATCATGTAGAGGTTTAATTGCAAAATGTAAATTCAAATGAGGATTAATTTATAAATAGGAATAAAATATGAGCACTGAAATAATTTTCAAAAAAATCAGGGATCAAAATAAACATATTATAAAGCTTTCATTACATGATAATAAATGTCGGTTGCCAAAAAAAGATCGATTACGTCAAAGTTCTTTATAAAAATCTTTAATTAAAGGAAAAGAGACGGCAAGATGTGAAATCGTATTAGAATTGAGTAGCTTGTCACCGGTGACATGGCATTGTTAAATTTATTCGACTTGTTTTATATTAAAAGTATTTTTAAAAAAATAAAAAAAAATGATTATTATTTTTTTTCAGATCTTTTTATGTATAGATATTAAAAATAATTTTTAAAATTAAAAAATAGTTTTTTTTTTAATAAAAAGTATTTTTTAAAGTAAACATTATTACACTCTAAAATATTCTCACAAGTACGGGGTCTTACGGTCGACTGCGTGGTCTTTATAAAATTTGTTGTAATTGTTGAAAAGCTTTAGAATAAAATACCAACACATAGGAACGGTAAGGAGAGGAGGTTTTCATTTCTTATTTCGAGTACCACTAAACCATAATGTAGTGGAAAGCGTTTATAATTGGTTGTTATAATGTGTTAATACCATTGTTCACATCCTCTTAGAATATTATTCACTGTAACAAAACCAAATGAGAAGGTGAAAGCCCCTTTCACCTTTCACCTCCTTGTAGAGCATTAGTTTATCCGAACCAATCTTTATACTTGACTTGGAGCCGATGCCGCTCAAGATTTCGACCACAAGTTTTTACTGGGTTAATTTTATTTTTTTATAAATTAAAATATTATTATTTTAATAAAAAATAAAAAAAAAATTAATGAATTATAATTAAATTTTTAACTAGATTAATTTATCAAGCCAAACCCGGTTTTATTCTTTTTTTATTTATTTGATCTTTTATTTTTTAATTTATTATTTATACAATCTTGAAATTTATTGTTGGTGTGAGATTAAAAGGGGATCAAGCTTGAAGAAAAGGCAAAAACATTAGCAAAATAGAATTTTAAAAAAGAAGGAAAACAAAAATAGTCCCTATACTTTTTTCGCAAAATTTTACCTAGGGGTTTTACCAATGATACATTTTGGTCCTTATAGTTTTAAAAAATTCAATTTGGTTCAAAAAAAATTCAATTTCTAACTTGAAATAAAAAAGTCATCAAAAAACATCAAAGGAAAAGGTAGGTTATTTGATGGTGAAGTTTGCCGGCAAGGTTCAATTCTTGCTTTCTCCATGATTCATTCTTTTCTTTTCTTCTTTTTTCGTAAACTTCATTTTAACACATGTTCAATGTCTTCAATATTCCACGTCAACCCCACGCGGGTCTGGGCTGGCAACCCCATTCTAGGTTTTGTTTAATGGCCCATGCTTACTGGAACATCTAGGTCCAGGCAACTCAACTGTGTTTTTTAGTTTTTGATTTGGTTTTTAATTTTAATCTTCAATCTTAATTTTTTTTAATAAAATTCCATTCTATAATATTTTATTAATTTAAAATTAATTTTCATAATTTATTTTGTTTGTAGTTTTAAATATCTTAGTATTTAGTTTGTACTCAATTTTACAAGAATTTATTTTTATTTAAGTAAAAATTATTAAAAAAAAATTTCAAACCTAATAAATTTCATCATCCAAGTTATAGATTTAACATGTTAAGTAATTACATTGATACATTATGTTACATTATGTTGCTATCTAAGTATTTTCAAACAAAATGTACTTTTAGATTTTTTTTAATAATTCAAATCATATTTCTATCAATCATTCAGATTATTTTTGAATTTATTAAATCAACTAAACTATATAACTAAACTATATAACTATAAAGATAACTCACAAATTATTTATTTGAAGTCCAAGCTTGGCCAAGAGTTAAGAGTTGATCTCAGGAGAAGCAATAAGCAATAATAATTATAGTTGTTGAGTATATTTTTACACACCCCTATCTCTTTTTTATTTTTTGAATATTAAATCAAGAATTCTAAATGGTTTCCATATAATTTCAAACTAATTAAATGATTCCTAGACCCACTTTTAAATTTTTTTTTTTAATTTAAAAATACAGACCCATTTTAAAAATTGTTTTTTTATTTAAAAGTGTTCAGAAATATTATGTTCCCATACAACTTGATAATAAAAGACATTCTTCAATAAAAAAATTTTGTTGATTAATTTTTTTATTTGTTTTTTTTTTTAAGTTCATTCTTCTACTATTGAGTTTTTATTTAAAAAAATATTATAATCCACCCTTAATATTTAGTTGATTGTGCATTGTTCTTACATATTTTTCAACATATAATTAAATAAAAAAATATTATTAAATCTAATAAAATCCATAACATAATAACAGATTCAACAAGTCAAACAAAATCAATACAGTAAGTCATCATTTTAATGTTTAAAAAATATATAACTTACTAATTTATTTTTAAAAAAATTCAAACCACATCTTTGAAGCTACGCGCATGGTCTCTTAATTCTGAAAGTTTAGGTGGCCTTTGAAGTTACGCGCATGGCCTCTTATTTTAAAGTCCTTTGATTTCTCTCACTTCAAGAAAACAACTCCAGAATTCAAGTTTGACCCAGATCCAATGACAACTAAAGAGTAATCGAGATCTAAATATTGTGATTTTACATTCACTTTGATGAAATAACCTAGTAACTCATAATTATAAATATCCATGGATGTCAGAACGCGTAAATCATTTTCTCTAAAGAAATTTCCTCATGGTTTTACACAGGATTAGGAACTTTCAGAATTCAAGGAGAAGGATGCTATGAATTCATTTCTTGAGCACACTATGGATCCAGGTCACTGAGACTTAAAATAAGAAAGCAGCCGTAGATTTAAATCCTGTCAAGAACTTTCAACGGTTTAACATGTCCCGACCCTCTCTCACCAGTCACTAGCATAGCAAAAAATGGCGGGCCCCAACAAAACAAGATGCAAATAAGAAAAGAATTCGACCCGGTAAAAAAAGAGAATTTAACTTACCAGAGGATTTTGGGTTACACGCCGCTGGCCAAATTCATGATAAACATCTGCATGGCATGAAACTCAACCAAAATTTGAGGGGGCATTCATCTAGAAACAAAATTAAAGCAAGAGACTATCCTTTTCCTTCTTGCTATTGGCTACAACTATCATCTGACATTGCAACGAGTGAACCATACAAAACTCTTACCATGCCTCATAATTTTATTCTTAAACCTCTACCTAATATATTTGTTTTGGCTCAAGATTGGCATCTAATATATTTATTTTGGCTCAAGATTGGCATCTTATTGATCTTATATAAGACCCCATCTAAGATAACAGCAGACCACCAAGTCAACAATTGCATCATTTGCATAGCCCTCGTTCTCGAACCTTGTAAGCATCTGTTAGCTTTGTTGCTCTGCACAAAGCCATTCCCATTTTTTTTTTAATGGTGGCCGTGAATGATCATCTCAAATACATGATCATAGCATACAGCTTATCTCATGTTTAATGAGCAAGAGGAATTCTGTTGACCCACTGCGACAATAATAGAAGCCCAGTTTATCAAACTCGGTTCAGCCAAAAAGAAGATAATGTAAAAGGGTATGGAATCTGATAGCACCTTTGTAATTTAAGTAAGCACGTAGAATGGGCTAAGGCAGCTCTCCACTATTTACTTGTCCACTTCTTTGGGGATAATGGCCTTGCCAAGATAAACCTGCTGCATCTCATCTCTCCATATCTGCAAGGAAAGTATCTCATTGATTAAATCTAACCCCATCAGGACAAAAAATGTTCCAGCAGAAAAACAAAAATCAGGAAGAAGCATATGAATATGAAAGCTGCTTGCTACCTGACCTTCCACATGTGCATCACCCTGATTACAAAATGGTCTGCCTATTTGCTTCTCTTTCAGATAAAAAATGCAAATGAAGCTAAAAAGAGTAGCACAAAAAAAGGGAGGGATTGGTTATGGGAGAGGGGTTGCGGGTGCAGGATTGATGCAGAAGCTTACTATATTTTGTTATATATATCTTGCTTAGTAACTAAGGAGATGATGCAAGAGCTTAGCATTATTTTATTATATTTGTTTTGCTCAATGATAAAGCAGTCATCATTACTTGATAGCTAAGTTGCCGTAGTAACAAAGAATCTCCCTGGTATAAATAGGATGTGAACATGAGCTAATGGTGAAGTTCTAAAATATGCACCAAAACTTGAGGTTCTTATTTAAACCATCTTTGTTCCAACTTCATTCTTGCTGTTTCCTCTCCATACGATGTCAAGGAATTTGACATCCTAGTGCTTCAAGAGGGCATTGCCCACTCATTGTGTATCGTAAAAACAGAGACAACCTTTGAACAACCCAGGCAAAAGTTCATCGCTTCTTGTTTGAACAAGTCAATATGATAAGGTTAGGAATTAGGTCCATACCGTGTCTCGAAATTCCACCCGGATATGAGGCACATTTGTCTTGTGAATATCATTTCCATCTGGTCCTCTCTTGTAGTACTCTTTACCAATCCAGTGCGACTGAAGCAGAAATTTCAAAGGCAAATGCCCAGAGATTAGATTTAAAAGCATTTACTATATAAATCATAAACCCTCATATTTTGTTTAATCGAAATCAAAGTAGCACAACAGATATTGATATATTTGGAGCACATGAATTGGTCTGGTCGTAAGATGTACCCATTTCAATACATTCAGTTCATTTGATATGGTTGTCACTGTCATGGATTTGATATGGTTGTCACTGTCATGGAGATAAATTACTCCCCTTCAAAGACAACCCAAAACCCAAGTCAGACTAGGTTCCCTATGGAAATGAATCCAAGAAAAGATATTTATTTTGCAAACATACTATTTGCAGATACATCTTTATTATTCTTCTTAGGCATGGGCAACAAATGATATTTTGAAAGCAATACCTGAAAGGAAAAATCTTTTCATGGCCAATTTGAATATTCTCATCCCCATCTCAGGCTATTTAACTTGTTAAGCTTATAGATTAAGAGAATAAACACTCTTGGTACAAAGTGAGTCAATGAAATAAAAAAATAAAAAAAGAGTAATCAATCAAGCAACTCAGTGATTACAATGAAGGAAACCAAGGAACTTGGTGACTATAAATGGAAAACATCAAAGGTGTTGACCGTTTTATATGATTCTTTTCCATAACAAAATTTGTGGCACCAGCACCAGATCCTTTCTTTTATAAATTTCAGAATCTTAAATCAAGCTAAGAACTTACCTTCAAAGCATGCGAGAAACCTGATTGGTAGACTGAGTTTCGGGCAATCTCACACAGATCGCATGAACTCAACTTCCACACCTGTCAAGAAAGCTTGTGATAATGTATTTGACCTCATAAATCTTTCACTTCAGGTGAGAAAAGGAGAACTTACAGAAGCAGCTATGCTATATTCTTCCACCAAGGGCTCTTTTGTTAAATGGATTTGGAGCGGATCATCAGTTGAAAGGGAAACATTGAGACCCCTTAAGAAAAACGTAGGGTAGAAAGGGAAACATTGAGACCCCTTTGGAAAAACATAGGGAAAGGGTTCCTATGGTAGTCTAAAAATAAGGAATTGTTGCTCAGAGGAGACATAGCCAAGCCAATCTGTATTAAATAAAATAAAATAAAAAGGCACCATTGCCCATTAATGTCACAAAAAACAAAGTACATAAAATCAATTTAATATAATAATCATAATAAAAAGAATATCTCTTCCATACCTGTGCCAGATAATACAAATATTGAAGTACTGGAGATTTCCTCAAATTGATCCCATGGGCGATATTATGACATGTGAGAAATGTGGCAGCAAGATGATCAATATCACCAGCCTGAAAAAGGTTATTCATGTGAGGCAGCAGAAAATCTCAACATTTGTGCAAGTAAAAGGAATCTGAAATGAATACCTCTCCAGAATGGGGTCGAAATTTGATAGTTGTCATGCCCTTAGACTCACGAAGCTGAAAAACAACGTTGAAATAGGTTAGGAAATGTTGCATCGAGAGGAAAGCACCAGCATTAAGCAATTATTAATCAGCAAGTCAGGAAGAGAACAGCCAGCTAGTAGAAACATTGGGAAGGAATGCCAGATCAAGCTGCGAGAAACGCTACTAATCCATTTTCAGAAAACATGAAATCATTTTGATGGTTACATTTTTCTATCTTATGTGGCAGAAGTTCGATCTAGATCATGACATCCAAATGTAAAAAACTAGAATTACTTTTCTTGTTTGAGACTGAAGATATAATGACAAGAAAAGGAAAAATCATGGCAAAACATGCAAGACAACTACTTAAGATAAAGTATCGTTTCTGTTTTTGAAGCATAACAGGGACCTTGTTTAATGTGTAGAGGTTGGCATAACAGTAATAAACATAATATGAAAACGCAGGATTGAACACATTGGTCCATTGCACTGGTGTAGGCATGTGCTTCGTCGGGCGTCTTTCAGGTTTGCTTTCATCATCAACCAAGTCCAACCCAACAACCTGAGAATTAAAACAAATGATAAGCTGTACATTATTCAATAAAAGGGGTAAATAAAGTTGGATGTCAAACACCCATAGAGCCTCATAATGATCTCTGCAAGGATAGGAGGTTCAGGTTATGTTTTCAAAGGAGGAAACAAAAGATGATGAAATTTTAATATCCCGCAACCACCCCAGGTAATTGCATTACTTGCTTATTGTACTTGATCCATCATAAAGTTCCAAGTCACAAATTTTCATTGACAACTGTGCCAGATTTTCCCAGTTACACTTGTTGATAAATTATTCTGGCAGAGATCTCATTGACTTGTGATCTTCATTCAACAACGATTCCAGAATAAAACAAACAGATGAGAAAAAATAGCACATTGCAGCAAGGAACATTGTAGTTAAGCCCCCTTTATTTTAGTAATGTAGTAAAGGGAAGCACATACAATGTGCATATACACAACAAAAATGAAGACAAATAAAAACACCAATGTCATCTGAAAACAGAAAAGAATTACTAACCGAGCGGGACTAAATCTGTTATCAATAACTCATATCATAGTCATGCCAGTTGATGATTTTAATTGTCTTCATACATAACTACTAGACCCTCTAAACATCACAACAAGAAAGGCCACAGGAGTTGCTACTAGTTTGGTGATAAAATGGAGGTGGTAAGCACCACATATACTTTCAGTATTTCGATTCAAAGAAAATATCTTGCACACCCTGTGATGCTATCTGAAAAATAATAGTCTGTTTCGAAAATGGCAAACCTGTTTTAAGAAAACATGCAGCTGAGGATGCGAATCTGGATCAACTGTAACCTCGAAAAGTGGCATAAAGATATTATCAAGAATATTCTGAAATGATGTCACAATCCCCATTTCCTTGTAGATATTATACAGTCTTGGAAGCTGAAAATGCACAAGGTATTACACAACATGAAATTAAATACTGACTCAATTTTTTATACAGGTCTTGGCATCTCATAGTAAACCAAATGCTCAACCGACAGTCAAAACCCCCAGTCACTCAGATAGCTAAACACCTTTGCAAAGGTTCTGCTATTAAGAAACAAAAAAAATGATAAAAGTGTAAGCTTTTAGATGCTTCCTTGAGCTTAAGTTCACGGTGCCAAAAGGAGAGGAGACATACTAATAACAAATTGGAATTAATTTCAGTGTGAAACAGGAATATCAATAATAATGTGCAAGTTATGTGAATTAACATCACATGAGCACATGACACGCGTCGATATAAAATGGAAGGGAAAAGCCTCCCCGAATATATCTTAAAAAATAACCTTCATTAATAGGGATTTAGATATATTGAGTCAATACCTGGATTAACCAAACAACATTTTCACTGTACAATTCATTATTCACTATCCAACTAGCCAATTGGTCCCATTCACTTTGCTTTCTACCATATATTGATATTCTATATTCAGCCATCTGCAATAACAAAAACATGTTACGTGCATAAGTAGTAACATTGAAAACAAGTACATGGAAAAGTGCAAGTGATTGCGAAAGCATGTTGTAGATGCTTCTTAGGAAACACACCTCTCCTATTTAATCTGGTTAACCTCTAATGAAAGTAAGAGCAGCTAATGTCAGCATGTGAGCCTCAATCAGGATACGATTGGTAAAGCAAACTATCAAGATACAATGATCAGAAAAGCTTCAAAACTCTCTTACATTAATGTTATGGTACAAGTTCATCAGTCCTGTCATGATTAGCCTGGTGTGTGTAGTAATAAACCAACACCTCATATCCTGACTCACTCTAAATTCATGACTATAAAATTCAAGAATTTCAAATCAAAAAACTAAAATATACCTTCTAAGCATATCTTTCTAATCAGATCAATTCTAGAGAACGAGAAAAGAATAAACAGAAACAGAAACACAACAAAGAAACATGGTCTTAAATCACGAATTTGGTGTCACTGACATTTCTTGATCACTGTAGGCAACAAATTTTTACCAAACGATTTTGAATGTACTACTGCTTTCAAGCATTTAACAAAGAATATGCAATATCACAAGTTTAAATATCACTGAAAAATGTACAATAGAATAAGGAAACCAGAATCTACATCTATGTATAAAAATCATCTACAAATAGGAAAAAGGAGTACCTGATATTTACTAGCAACAAGATCAGAAAAGACTTCTTTTGTCAGTTCACCAAGGAAACGGCCTGCTCATCAACATACAGAAATAAGCATAGATAAGACAAAGCAGAGAGTATAATTAGCAGGGAAATTACAAACTAGTGGAAAACAATATAGAACATCGTGACATAAGAACCATGTAAACACTACAAGGTGCAAGCATGTAAAATAAACCATTTAGACTCTGTAAGATTTGAGCATGTAAAATTAAACTTGAGTCCCATGAGTGACATTTTAGTACTGGGATTGAAACTTTTTTGTGGTTCATTGGGAGGCCTGCCAGCCTTGAGAACCGCACTAAAGAGGTAATCCTCCCCTTTCAACAAAACATCACTCACTCATCACAGAACTGTAACCTGAACCTCTAAGCAAGAAGTTTTGAGTTTTTAACCACTAGGTTGTTCCCTTGGGAATAGATTAGAAGAAAGTTTCCTATACGAGAAGTAATGCATGTTTTTTCATTGCCTGTGTTCTTTTTTCATAATTGTGCTTCTAGAGCACAGAGTGAACCTTCTATCCACCCACCTAGAAAATAGAAATCAAAATCAGAGAGGAAATCAGTACTTTTGTACTCGAGAAAAAATTAAGATGTACCTTGTATAAGGTTATCTTGTTTAAGGAAAATTTCCCTGAGCCTACTCTGACCACAAGGATTGTACTTCAAGTTGAACTTATCAAAGCGATGAAACGTGCTCTTGTCCGCATGAACATCTAAAAGGTCAACATTGAGATCATACCTGTGCAAAAAAAATGTCGATTAGATACTACCATTCTCTATACAACAATATAAAAATGAGAACAGCAATAAAAGTTCCTTGCCCAGTCAAATCCAAACTTTCGAACACTTCTTTCAATGTCAAGTATGTTCCATCTCGAAAAATCACAACCTGAAACAGTAAATAAAAGTTCAAGAAATGAACAAATATGTAATAAATATCCACCTAACAATCAGATTGTATTATAATGTTTATGTGAACATGATATTAAGGTTAATTGCGCAAGAATATGGCAATGATTAATGGTCCATTGCCAATGGTGAAAGAAAAGAAGAGAAAGGTGTAAATTGTTTTAGTTCAGGAAAGAAAAAAAGGGACTACAATGCATCAGCAGAGAAATCCAAATCTTTACCTCGTCAGGCTCTTTCCTCAATTTTGACTTTATAAACCTTAAAAGATGTTTCTGGTTCATGCACGCAGAATGATGAACATGTGTATCAACTTTCCTGACATTATAGAAGTCACGATGTGGAGCACTTTTCTGAGCGAGAAACTCTCTATCCGCATTAAGCATCAGATGAAGGTTGAATTTCTGAAAAACATTAAGATAACCATAAAGCCAGAGATCTAATTATTACGGAAAAGTACCTCTTAATGAATTGTGACAGTCAATGAAAAAAATTTCTACTTGTTCTAGGAGATTAAGCCGATGATGACATAGAGTCCTGATATTTCCAATCGCAATAACTCGAAGTATGTGATGCAAATCAGTGAAAAACATTGTTGCATCAGCAACAGGAAAAAGTTCTTCCTTAGCTGAGAAAAGATGACAAAAGTCAGCATATAACATCCCCATAATGAAACAAGGATTGAATCATAACAAACAAGAAACCAAAGCTCATAGCTTACAATCTTTATTTGGATAGACATGGATGACCCCATCTTGCATCTCAAAATAATGCTGTGCAAAAAAAATGAAAGGTACAAATTATAAAAAAAAGAAAAAGTACAGCATAATCCTGACTAGTTGTTCCACAAAATGCCAAAATCAAACAAATACTCACATCAGATTTTCCCTCTGGGGTATAGGAGAACGGGTCAGGATTAGGCTTTGGTGTACTAGGGTCAGAAATAATTTCTTTCTCCCATGGAGCAATAGCTTCCTTGAATACATATCTCTTTCTCATTTCAAGGCATTCTTGAAGAACTATATAGGAATCCACTTCATCTGGTGATGGCACCTCTGCTGAAACAAAATAAAATTTGAATAATTCAAATAAATAGACTCACATACAAATTAATTAAGAAAATAAACAGACGAGCAGAGACGAGCAGAGAAATTTTATACATGTATACATTGCAGAATACACGTGTATTCTGCATCATTCCTTTTAAAGAACCTGCATACAAACATGTTTCATGATAAAACTTAAGCAACTGCTTGCCTTTTGCAGCCATTCAACACACACTGTTATGGAGTATAGCAGCAAATTCAGACACTATGTTCAAAAATTCATTGAGTAGGATAAGACAAGCCCATTAGATATTCACCGTTCTATGAAAAAAGCAAAAAGCAAGCCAAACCAAGGATAATTAACAGTAAGTACAGATAAGTAGTAGTCAATACCCATAGGGGAAATTTTAAGTCGAGCAAAAGTTTCTTGTTCTGGCTCTTTCCTTAGAATATCAGCTGCAAAAGGATCTGGCTGAACACCATGCAGGTCACCAGAAACGCTATGGGATCGAATCATGCTTGAAGCAGGTTTAGGCATTTGGTCTCCATTTGCATTAATGTGTTGTGGTAAAACATCCTTTATATCCTAAACATGCATGCCACAATTAAGAACAGAAGTAAACTCAGGTCAAAATGAGCATTAATTGTGCACGTATGCACATGTTAGAGAGAGTGATATGCATTTGCAAGATCAAAAACTCACAGCATTTCCATTGATATGCAGATATGTAGTGTCTAGTTCAGAATTGCCAGTCATATTATCTTCATCATCTGATCCTTCCACGCTGTCAAAGGCACTCGCACTGGCACCAGGAGACTTCGGAGAAGTTGGTCTGATAAAACTTCCAGGTCTCTTGACATGTCCACCAGATTTCCCTGGGACAGAACAATACTGGATTTATTCATCAAACAGGATTACAACTCGCCACCTCTAATGAAAAGGTGAAAAATAAAAAATAAAGTAAAGAAAATTGCAATAGAATTCCAAGTCATTTCAAGTTACTTCCATTTGAAGCTATAGCTAAAAAGGGCAAAGAGAGAGTAGGTTTTTATTAGAAGGCACAGAGAAGAGCAGCAAAGTTCAACTGTTGGAGGACAACTGTAATTGGCTAGATAAAGAAGCCAATAGGACTCTGGAGCATTTCCAATGTGTTTATCAAGACGGTTTAGTTTAATCCCAAAGTTTAGTTTCCTTATTTTCCTTTGCCACGTATAGATTTCCTCATGAATGATGAGCTTTCTACCCCGAGAATTCATAGCAGATAATAATTTCTTACACTTTACCTCTTCTTCAAGCTAGATATTAATAAAGATGATTCTAGTATTGCTTGGTTTAAAATCCATGAATAATCTATTTTTTATTTGTTCATCCCTCTTTTAGCATGATCCTTAGGAATTGCAAAGTGGTGATTATTTATAATGCAAATTTCTATCAAAAAATTGATAGGTAAGAACTTTGACCAGAAACCAGGGACTTGTACTTTTAAATACTCGGGGTTTTAAATTTACCTTAAAACCCCAACTCCTTACTCTCGCAGGCATTTCAACAATACTAATAATCTCCACAAGCAGCAACCATATTAAATACAAACCGGTAATTAACCATTCACATAAATATATTATATTAAATATATCATACACACGGCAGAGTTATTAATTTAATCTAAAATACTCCTTAAGTATCACTTAACTGCGCTGTTATAGATTATTATAAATTAAATTATCAGAGCCGTCGAATTCAAGCCGAGCTTTAAATATTCACTCCGGCGAGAAGTCCGGCATGGTCATACCTTCAAGCAAGGAATGAAGCCTAGGCAATCCAGCCGGAATCCCTTCGACATGAAGCACCTGACCGTTCCGTTTCTCCTCTCCATCAATTCCACCACCAGAAATTGCCGTCACATCCGGTAACGAAGCTGACCCACGCTTGTTGTAGTGACCGTTACTCCCTTTCCTCCGTCCGTGACTCCTACGCTTTTTCAAATTCTGTGGCGACGATCCTCCGCCGTCGGAGTTGTCGTCTCTTTCTCGTTCTCTCTCTACCGTCTTCGCGAACTCGAGGAGTTGAGTTAGGGTTTTGCGGTGCATATAATAAGCGGATACTGCCACAAATGATGCTCCTACTAGAGCCGCCATCGCTAGATGCAGCGCGTACGCGTCCATTACTTTCTCTCTCTAAAAAATATCTCTTTCTTTCTCCCTCAGGAAAGGAGGATTTCTGCAGGGAAATGGTGAGAGTTGTCGATGGTCTGGCTGAATAGCAGAGACTAGAGAGAGGGGCATGCGAGAAGCGGAGGTGTGCGTTTTATTTTGAGCCAAGCGCGGCTGGTTTGGATATTTATAGGCGAAATTGAGAAGAAGACATACTCTCTCTCCCTCTCTCTCTATCAGAGATTTAATAAATAAAAAGTTTAAATCAGTCGTCTAGTAATATAAATTTGCTCATTAAAATTTAACACCAGCCAAAAGTACCCTATTACTGTATGAAAGGGCATCTTCATATAATAATATAGACTCGTCTTTCTTTTTGATGTGCCGACTTTAACTTGATGTACCAGTCGGTTTAAAGGTTATTTTGTGCCTCTAGAAGGAAGAGAGCAACGTTTAAGAAAATATTTCATTTACAACGATATTATTATAATTCTTAAAGGGAAAAATAAAAGTTTGGTTAAGATTACAATTGAAAGTGCATTTTATATAAGAAGAAACATATCCATGTGTCATTACATGGCTCATGTAATAAAATATTATTTTAATAACATGTATATATTTTATGTTTTAATAAACAAAAAGCTAAAAGGAGTTATTAAATAGGCTTTAAAAAAATTATTGTTGTATGGATTTTAATGAATTCAAATTTAATACGTATAAATTTCCTCATGCATATCTAAAAATATTTTTATGAATCGAGCTATCACGTCTAAACTTAACTTTTATAAAATGCTTGGGTCGAGCATGGTGTTTGATGAATGCTTGAGCCCATCAAAGCACAAGCCCATTAATAAATGGATATCAATTTTGCTGGTGTGATGCCCAACATCCTTTATGATAAGCATGCGCCCAGTACTCTAATGAGTTTAGACCATCATGTTCAAGCTCAACATGTTGCACAACACTCTTAGTGTTAAGAGTGACACATCTAGCCCAGTGTTAGGCATGTACTCCAATACCTTTGTGGGCTCGAATGATCATGTCTAAACTTGATATGCCTTGGTTAAAATAGCACATTTGAATTTATTTTTAATATTTAACAGGCTCCAAAACCTTATCCGATCTCAACACTCTAATAATATTTTTTTTCAAGACATTACGCTGATCCCTTGATATTTTATATCAATCTAATCATATTATTTTGAGTGAAATATGACTCGAAATATTACAAGAATAAAATTACTTTAGCCTCTCTTCTTCATAAAATGATAAAATTCATGGGCCATAAATACAACATGAATTCTTCAAACTTTAGATTTATGATCTTTTTATTCTTAACACTTTAAGTATATATATTATAGTGTTTATTTTTTCTAAAATATCATTGTATTTTTTTTCTTTACAAATTACTGATTTAAATAGGGAAAGTTCCTATATTCATCAAATGGAACTTTTTACAAATACTAACTACTACTCACCACAACTAATTAGATATTACCTACTGTTATTTTTCAACTACATTAACTTTTTATATTAAGTCATTAAATGCATTGAAAAAGAAAAATAAATCAAATTAATTGAACTAAAAAATTAATCAGTTATTTAAAATACTAATCTTATTTTAAAATATCTTGAGTTTTAAGATTTATCAAATTCCACTTTATATCACAATAAAATGATTGCAATGAAGAAGCTAAAAAAAGCTTTTTGAAATATGAAAGTTGAACAATCTCTCTAACACATATAACATTAAAAGAGGAGTTAAAAATATAGATTTTCACCCCCAGCTATTGCTAATAAGATATGGTTTTTATGCTAAAAAAGTAATGCTAATACTAGCTCGTGTAAGCAAAATAAATAATAGACAGAGAGCTTTTTGAAGTTTTGGTGGAGGATACAACTGAGTCAAATCCTACTGTTCCGAGGTCACATTATTAACGAAGTTAAAGAAATCAACTGAGATCACGTATAATTAGAGGGCCGGTTTTTATTTATTTATGCCCGGAAGATCGAGGCCACTTTCTAGTTGATTTACTTTTCAAAGGTAGCCCCCCCAAAAAAAAAAGCAGAGGGGATTTGCTTTGTAAAATCGCCGCTTTTGTGCATTTAATGATTTTTTAGTAATATATTTGTCCGCAGGACGCTGTGTGTCATTTTATCAGAAAAATAAAAATAAATTGAAAGAAAAACAGTTAAGAGTACAAAGTTTTTTTTTCCTAGCGTTATTAAATTCATATCAATTCAGCTGCTTCTCTAGATTAAATTATAAATGAAATTATATAAAGATTAATTTAAAATAAACTATTTAATTTAATAAATTTAAAAACAATTTAACTAATTATTAAATAAGGTTTAACTTTAAAAAAAATTAAGACGACTTTTGTTTTTTTAATATCGAGATATTATCGGATTAGATCGATTTTAGTCACTTCACAACCTAAATTATAAACTTTAATAGTTTTAATAACTTTATTATTTTTATTTTTATTAAATTTCAAGATAACATTATATGTCTTTGAAATTGAGTATCAACCTTAAAAAAATATTTATTTGAAATTATGGTAAACTTATACAAAATAAATTATAAATTTTTTTTATCCACCAATCCAACAGTGAAAAAAAGTGAAAAAACTATTAGAAAAAAATTAAAAGACCAAAAACTAAAAAAAAAATAGCAAGTTTGATAGGCAAACCTGTGAATCGAGTAACCCGGGTCAATACGTCAAACCTACAAACCAGGCAATGGATTCCATTGAGATTAATAACTTTTTTTTTCTAAACTATTCTTAGTTAATTACATGATAATAAAAATAAATGATCATAAAATCAAGCATTAAATCAATATTGATTTTTTTTAAGACTATAATAATCTTATAAAAAAGTAAAACAAAACAAATTATAAAACTTAATTTTCAATCAGCTAAATATCGAAGAATAAAACTGAAAAAACTAAATTTTTTTTAAAAAATATTAAACTTGTTATACCTGTTAACAAGCCTATGAACTTTTTAAAATTTAATAATATGTTTTTTTTAATTATTTTTTAACTACATGACAAAAATAAAAATAAAATAAATGATCATATAATTAAGTTCAATTAAAATAATTATATTAAACCCACAAATCGGGACAACCAGGGTTAATTCGTCAAACTTACAAATTAAAATATTAACTTTATAAAGTTTAATAATCTCAATTTTAAAAAGAATTTTCATATAACTAATTTTTTAAAAATAAATCATATCGTGATAAATTAGGATATTGACTTTATAAGGTTTAATAATCTCAATTTTAAAAAGAGTTTTCATATAATTAATTTTTTTTAAATAGATCATGATATTTTGGTGTTTTTTTATACTATAATAACTATAATAAAAATAAATTAAAAAATCAATAACAAAAGGAAAAAAAAAGTCAAAACGAAAGAAAAAAAACCACCGTAAATTACTTATAATCCGATAATAGGTGCAAAGTAAAGTGTTTTCCCCTTTATACTTAACGTGGGTTTTGTTTTAAATTTAAAGCGGGTTAATTAATTATGATTAGGATAAAAGGGGCGGGATGCAGGGTTGGAACCCATAGTCGGGCTAGAGGGAGAGCGGGCCAAGAGAGGGGCTTCGTGTAATTAAAGGTGTGGATTGGGAGTCCTTTTCGTTATCCATACCACATCAAATACGCCAAAGAGATGCAGCACACGTCACGTCACACCCATGTTGATTGTCAAGATCCTGTGTTTTTCAACGGTTGGAAATTAGACTGGTTTAGAAAGATCAAAATCCCATATTAAAAAATCCCTAATTTTTAGGGTTTAACCTAGACAACGCATCATCCAGCAATTGTTTAGTTTTTTTTTTAACAATTTTAATTGACGACTAATCACCTTTAAGCAAATGAATATGGCATCTTCGACCATCTAAGGGGTTGTAACCACCACTATTTGATACCCCTTCTAGAAATATTAATTATTCTCATCCAATGTTTACATTCTATTTTCGTTAATGAATTCAACAACATCTTATTCCTGATTAGTCATCACTATATTAACATATTCTAAACTAATCGAGTTGGCACTTTCAAGTAAATGCATATGAAGCTACAAACCGCCAAATTAAGTAAGGTTGGATCCAAATAAAAGATATACACCCCTTTATACTAAATGCAGGTGGTCTTCAACAATGATAACATCGGAGTTGCTCCAAAAAAGCCTTGAAAGTGGATAATTTGGTCATCAATGGTTGTGATACTTATTTTGAAAAACCATGAATTTTTTTTTGTGTGTTCACACTTCAAGCCTTCTCGGTCGGTTCTTATTGAAGGTTGATCACATTTCTCTCAATATCAAAAGGCCATAAATAAGCTCCTTGATCTTCAAAGTTTAGAAAAACCACCAAAATCTCCAAAAACTAAGTTTGTTACAAAACTACCATTGTAAAACCAGCATATGTACAAAGCTCATAGTTGTAAAACATATCCAAAACTCTCCAATATTAATCAAAGGGCCAAACATTAATGAATGATGATCAATAATTGATTGAATACATCAAAATTCTAACTTGAAACTCTATAAATACTCCCTTAAAAATCAAGATAAGAGGAGAGAAAAATAAGAAAAGAGAGGAGAAGAAAGCTTATTCTTGGAGCTCATTAGTAATCAAGTTTAATTGGCATCTAAAAGCTAAAAGGATAAGTTAAAGAAAGAGTAAAAGATTGGATTTTCGAAGGAAGAATGGTTGTAACTATTCTGAGTTTTTGGAAGGTATAATCATTCACTTAACTTAGTAGGTGATGTCCATGAGGCACACATCTAACTTGTTTTACATGCTTAATGATGTTTTTAAAATTGCTTTAGTGTTATGATGTTCTTCAGTTTTGATTATTATTTTTTAAATACATAAAAATGTTGTTTTATTGTTTAAATATTGCTTTGAGTTGTTTATTGATATTTCTAAATACTTGGATGATGTTTATTAGATGAGTTTTGATTAAATAAAATGGTTTTGAAATCTCTCAAATATAACAATAAGGTTTGTGATATTTTTCTGTGTTGACTGGTGTATATTCTTGGTTTCTAGGTTTTGGATGAGTCCTATTAAAGGTTTAAAAAAACAAATTTGAATCCAAATTGCATAAATATATAGGCTGTTTTAAGTTGAAAATTTTGATATTTAGAGTCTTTTGCATGATTTTGATGTTTTTAATGTTATTTGTTGGGTTTTTTTATTCAAACATGTT